AGCTCATGTTTATGAGATCAGAGGTTTTATGATGTACTCTCAAACATTATGCAAATAATCCCTCAGTCCTAGCAGTAATGACACGATGGAAAAGCATGAATTACAGAATAAAGGACACGCTCGCTCACACACCGTTCCTCACTGACTCTGTCCATGTAGACACTGGGGGTGCGTGTGAGAACAGCTATGAGGCAAATGTTGACACTGATTTGTAAGTGATCTAAACAGAAAAATGAGCGGAAAACCTGAAAGAAGATCTTTGTAGGCTCGCAGTGCATTCTGGGCTATTCGTATATGCTCATTATATCCAAATGTTCTGCTCACACTCATGTGATGCTCCATTTCAGGCAATATGAAGAGTGCTAAATAATTCACGAGATGCTGGGATCAAAAGTCTGCTTCTGCTTGTGCTCTTCTGAATGCAGAAGGGTGCGTGTTGGTGTTGGTGGGTTAGAATTTGGGGTACTGGGATATCAGTCTTTTGGCGATGTTCAGTATGTACTGTATCTTGATGTATTTGGTCTAAAATGAATGTTTGTTTGTTTGTTTATTTGTTTCTCAGAGGAACCATCATTTTTTGACCAAACATCCATTATAACCATTTAGTTTAGAACTTAAAGGTCCCCTTGAAATGCTTAGAAACACGCAGCGTTACTCTATGTGTTGACGTCATTTGAACTGAAACAGGAAGACAGGGCGGGACATATCAAGCAGCCTCGCCCCTTTTTAAAATAGCCAATAGCGTTCGTTTATATCACAGCTTGGGCTAGAGCCGTTCAGAGCCGTTGAGCTACGTAAAGCCGCATTTGACAGGGTATGCCAGCCACAATCTCATCCACATTGCTATAAAATATAGCATTCTGTGTAGAATTCAAATAGCTCCGATACATTTTGTGGTCTGCGCCGACTCGCGCATGTGATCCGCTCCGTGCTATCGTGTCTCTGGACCGGAGCAGAGTGTGTGTGCGGTGCGATGGTTAGCGTGACACAGCGCGAAACCAGACTTCTTTTTTTCCTCAATGGAAAGCATATTTACACAGTTTGAATCGTTCCCTGTCCCCTATATAGTGCACTACGTGCCATTCACTGTACAGAAAATACTAATTCTATGGACAAGTGACCAATTTCAGCTGCGGCTTCAGCGTCTATTTTATAGTGTAGGGGCGGCCGCTTCGGATTCTAGAGAGCATTTGATTGGACAGAAAGTTTGATGAGAAGCATAAGTATGATTTGACGTGGCGGAAGTGACGAACTGCAAGCTTTCAATGCTTGTATCTTCTAAATGCGAATTTTGTCACCGTTTTGGAGCACACTGCCTTATAGAAAACCTTAAGACTAACATATTGATACTAACACCCAAAAAAACTTTAATTTTGATTTCATGGGGACTTTAAAAATGGCATGATAGGAGCACTTTAAATATACAAATTCCAAAAATCCCCAATTTTGGGCTGAATATGTAACTGAAATACAAAGGATTTTTTTTTTTTCTCATTACTAAATGCTACAAACAGAAATCATTGTTTCATAGATGTACAAGCAAACCTATTGCCTCACATTTTTCAGTTTAATTTGGTATCCAAGACCAAACCTGCACCAGTGATGAAAGGATGAGAGCACATCTGACATAAGCAGTGCAAACTGAGGTCACCAAACAATATAGCTCAGAAGAAAGTCATGATCCTCCTGGGGGAGAGGAAATTGAGTCCTAAATGGAGAAGACGTCTTTATGGCATTTATGGTGTCACGAAGTGATGTCAAAGAGGCAGGTAGTATGAGACGGGTGAACAGGGCCACTCTAACACATTAATTCAAAATTGATTTGAATAGATTTTCTAGACATTTTCACAATAAATAATTGTGGTATTGTGTTGTAGTCACCCACTCCTGGGTCTTCTGAGCAAAACCAAATGAGAACCACTGCTAAGAAAATCTGTAAAAAATACGGCCCAATGTACCATGTTAATATAAAGGCATTTTCCGTATTGTTTTTCACAGGTGGTTTACGTGTATTTTAAATTACATTGCATTGTGTTGTGTTTTAGTTGAAGCAAATGTCTGTAAACATGCTGGTAATTTTCTGGCAGGACATTATCTGTTGTTCTACTTTTTTTTTTTTCTTACAGTGGTACACAAAATGACTTAAGCTTAATTAGTGAAATGAGTTATTAAAAATAATAAAATGAATTTTAATTGCAACTTTATGTCACTGGGTGTAGGCCTATTTACTGGAATTGAATCTCCTTTTTCAAAGTGATTTCTCTGACTGGATGAACTTGACCTCAAAGCAGCGATGGACTCGTCTTTTTTCTGTGACATTTTCACTTGATCCTAATTATGCACTTAGTACTGTTAATGTTACCTAAATACCTGCTAATATGGTGTAAATGCGACTGTTTAGCACAAAGGTCAACTCTAAGATTATTATAGTAATTTAAGTATAAAAATGATCATAAATTAACACATTACTCAGACAGAAAAGGCTGGATTTTAAAAAAATTATGTTATGTCTTTTTTCCCTAAATTTAATTAAAGGTGAAGCTCAAAGTTTGGTATTTTTGTTCTTTGGGGGTCTGTAAATCCCCCTGTGCTTGCTGTGGCTAGAATGGACAAGCTAGCTAATTTGTAGCTAGAATAAATCAGTGAGTGATGGAAAGCAGCAGCTGTGTGTTTTATTGGAAATTGTTATGACATTTTAAGAGTACTGGCATGTCGTCCTAAGAAAGTGAATAAAATCATGTCCCCTGCGTGGTGTGTGACTGATTTGTGACATTGACATCTTCATGTTTCTGCTGTCAATCAAATAGTGTGATCTACCAGTGAAAGCATGAGTGCATATGTCTTTAGAAAAGGTTAAGTGACCATGAATATTTAATGTTTCAGTCTACCCAAATGTGTGATGGGAAGTGAAGTCATTCTCAAGTATGACTTTAAATGCTTGTAGAGTACGATCTGCTTTGTCACCGTCCATTAGCAATACTAATGTGATTTCAGTTAATGTACTCTTTTAAAGATTGTCTAGAAACAAAGCTGTAAACTGCCTTTTTATGTTAAAAACACTGGATTACTCTATATCCACAAGGCTGAAATGTCATTTGTTTTAGAGTCTGGATAAGCCAGAAATGTTTCAAACCTTTGAGGAGGTTGCTGGGATCAAGGAGATCTAATATAGCAGAAAGCTCAGCCGCAGCTTCAGCGTCTATTTATAGTGTAGGGGGCGGGCCGGCGCTTCGGATTATAGAGAGCATTTGATTGGACAGAAGGTTTGATGAGAAGCTGAAGTACGATGTGACGTCAAAAAAATCGTTGAGCCGTTTTGGCGGAAGTGACGAACTGCAAGCTTTGAATGCTTATATCTTCTAAATGCGAATTTTGTCACAGTTTTTGTCACACTGCCTTATAGATAACCTTAAGACTAACATATTGATACTAACCCCCAAAAAACTTTAATTTTTATTTCATGGGGACTTTAAAAAAACACTTTTTATTATTTGAAAAAAAAAATTTCTAGAGAATTTACAGTTTGTTGTTGTTTTTTTTGACACAATAATGACACACAAATATTTTTGAATCAGAGTTTTGGATTGAAATTGATTCAAACTGCTTTGGAAAGACATGAGGGCAAGTAAATGACTAAAGTATTTTCATTTTTGAGTGAACTATACCTTTAATGATTTCATATGTGTGTTAGTGAGAAAATAAATGTTTGATTAACCGATTGATTGATTGATTGATTGAGAAGTCTCTTATGCTCCCCAAGTCTTCATTTATTTGATCAAAATTACAGTAAAACAGTAATATTGTGAAATAGATTTTACCATAGACCATTTTTACCATATCCATAGACTTTCGTAAAACACACACGCACACACACACACACACACACACACACACACACCACTGCACAGAAAATCAATGTTTCTGCTCATTGGTATATTGGGTTGGGTCAGTGTTTCATGATTTTCTCCTCTGGCCTGTGGTCATCAGATTAGCTCCAGACGTCTAATAAAATTGAGTGATAATTTGACACGGTCATTGTGATGTGGGTTAGTGCGCTCACCGGATTAATCTCTGTGGAATTGGCAGGGAATTCCCTACGGATCAGCACATTTCCCAGTCAATCTCTCTCTGACGGATGTGATCTTTTCATTTGGGGCTTCTTATTGCCTTTGAATTTACTCAGGCGTTATGCTTACATTTCCATCAGAAGCTAAAATAAAGCCATTCATGCGTGCTCTCTACACACACACACACACACACACACAGGACTGTGTGTGAGAGTGTGAGAGAGTCTATTAGACAGATTCCTGTTTATTCAGTGGGAATCACTGAACAGCGAGAGGTCAGAGGTCAGACTGGGTTACACAGTCACATAGATTTAACCTTCACCTCTCTTTCCTCCATATGTGATACTGTTCTCTGTGTGATCTGTGTGTTTATGTGTGTGTGCGTCTGCTTTGGCACATATTGAAGTAGCCAGTGTGTGTTTATTCATATGAACATTTTACTGCCATTTATTCATATTTCCATTCTTCTGTGAAACATGCAAGGAGATGCTAGATTCTCTGAGCTGTTCTTGTTCATACTGTTAAAGTTGATGGTGATATTTAATATCGAATTCCAAAAAGGACTAAAAAAATAGTTTAAATACCATGCATGCCAAGTCTTCAGTCTGAAGCCAAAGACCTTTTGGTCTTTAGAGAACATTTATTGCATCATTCATTCAAACAATGAGACTCTTTGTGAAATGGCTAACCAGCTATTCAGACCCATCGAAACCTTGGTGAAATCTGTGTGTAATGGTGAAGATAGTGTGCTGACTGGTTGTTGAGTTAATTGCCACCTTCGGTACAGTGGAACTAGTGGTCTTGTCTGAGACCACGAGATCAAGACTCTGATAATTATGGGTTCTGTGAGCATTTACCTCTCAGATTGCTCCATTAAAGAGATTACATTTTCCCAATCTAAGTGAATTCTCTTTCTTCTTGTCGGTTCTCCAGATCTGGATAAGCCTGTGCTCACAGTGCACCAGACGGTGGGTGATGTACGAGGGAACTACTATCAGGAGAAAACAGTGTTTTTACGCTGTACGGTAAACTCCAACCCTCCTGCTCGCTTTATCTGGAAACGAGGAAATAAACCAATCGAACAGAGCAAAGACAACGGAGTGGATATCTACGAGCCTCTGTACACACAGGTACAACATTATCATGACTTATGTTGTTGTTTTAGTGAGGTAATGATATTTTATAGACCTTAACCCTATACCTATAAAATACCTTTTTTGTTTCTTTAAACACTATTTAATTTTATTTAATTTTATTTTATTTTATTTTATTTAATTTTTAAAATTTTTACATATTTTTTGGGGGGGCAGAAAGGGAGTTGAACTTCCAAGTTTATGTTAAGTTTTAGCAAACTTTTGGAAGTTTTGTCCCCAAACTGAAGTAAATCCCAAACCTCTCTTACACACAGCTGTATGAGACCACGAGATCAAGACTCTGATAATTATGGGTTCTGTGAGCATTTACCTCTCAGATTGCTCCATTAAAGAGATTACATTTTCCCAATCTAAGTGAATTCTCTTTCTTCTTGTCGGTTCTCCAGATCTGGATAAGCCTGTGCTCACAGTGCACCAGACGGTGGGTGATGTACGAGGGAACTACTATCAGGAGAAAACAGTGTTTTTACGCTGTACGGTAAACTCCAACCCTCCTGCTCGCTTTATCTGGAAACGAGGAAATAAACCAATCGAACAGAGCAAAGACAACGGAGTGGATATCTACGAGCCTCTGTACACACAGGTACAACATTATCATGACTTATGTTGTTGTTTTAGTGAGGTAATGATATTTTATAGACCTTAACCCTATACCTATAAAATACCTTTTTTGTTTCTTTAAACACTATTTAATTTTATTTAATTTTATTTAATTTAATTTTATTTAATTTTTAAAATTTTTACATATTTTTGGGGGGGGCAGAAAGGGAGTTGAACTTCCAAGTTTATGTTAAGTTTTAGCAAACTTTTGGAAGTTTTGTCCCCAAACTGAAGTAAATCCCAAACCTCTCTTACACACAGCTGGACAATATGCATGATTTCTCTAGGCCTTATTTCCCCTAAAACAGAAAATAGTTTAATTAGAGTTAATAATCATTTGAATAGCAGATAACCACAGGAGACGCGCTCAATCACAGAGAAACGTACTCAATAAATCAGCGATCCATCAGTGATGAATTCATAATCTGAGCACTTATTATTAAAGAGCCGTTTGAATAAGGTGGGATGGATGGAGATTGATGGCTTTGCTGTTAATAATGAGGATTATTCATTCTCCTGATGGACGCAGGTCAAAAGAATTAGATGAATTTAAAATTTCTGAATTAATTCTCTCTTTATCATGCACACAAAGTTGACATTGAAAAATGACATTGCATAGAAATACAAGGGTCATTCATAGGAAACGACATGGTACCTTTTGTGCCCCATTATTGCTCACATGAATTACTACTGGCATATTTTACAGTATACAGAACTTAGTCTCATTATTTGATGGATTGAACCTTGTTTAGTGTGTAATGCAAAGGAAATTCCGGAATGTTTTTTTTTTTGGAATATCAGCCAAATTGAATGTCCCAATTTAACCCAATTGTATTTGAATGGGTAATATAGAATTTAATGTAACTGTATTTCAATTTTGCTTTGTTTTGACATTGGAATATTATTCAAATGTATTAATTTACATTAACTTGAACCCTGTTATGCTGTGACATTTCCTGTTTCTGACATCATATTTGAAGAAATGACATCATCACAGTTGGTTTCAGTTAAAGTCAGCTACATTATATTACAACATTTATGAGTGTTTTTTTGTAGTATTTCGTAGTTTGCACTTCTGTTACACTCTGTGATGCCCCAGGTGGGAAAATGTGTTTTCATATTTTAAATACGAATTACTCAATAGTAGTCAAATTATACAAAAAGAAAAATTCTAAAAGCACAAATGACACTGTTTCCAGAGGATGACCGACAAACAACATTTGGTAACACTTTATTTCGATAGTCCACTTTAGACATTCTATTAACAGTAAGTAACTTTGCAACTACATGTCAACTAGCAGTTAGTAGAGTATTAGTAGACTGTCTGCTTAATATCTTCTAACACTTTCTTTGTCAACTTATTAGAATGTCTAAAGTGGACTATCAAAATAAAGTGTAACCCAACATTTTGTTGTCATTATGTATAAATGCATGTTTTGACTAACAGATGTGTGAATGTGTGTGTGTTTGCAGGGTGAGACAAAGGTGCTGAAACTGAAAAACCTCCGTCCACAGGACTTTGCTAATTACACCTGTCAGGTGTCCGTCCGGAACGTGTGTGATATTCCAGACAGCTCGGTCACCTTTCGCCTCGCCAACACCACTAGTGAGTTCCCGTTTACGCTCAAACGCTCACATTCACTCTCTTTCCCTCATTATACAGCAACTGTAGTGAGTTTTGCATATGAATTTTGTGCTTTTTAAAATTTTGCTCATTTTATTACAGGGAAAAATGAACTGCGTATGGAATTTCGTTTCTGCCGTTAGTTTTACAGAAACTGTAGGAGTACCTGTCTTTTCTCCTTCAGTTCTTTTTATTATTTTTCTTCTCAAATGTTCCTTTTCCCCTGGATATGTGTTGACCTGTCAGGTTTAATTCACCTTTCTTTGATTGCATCTTCACTTTTCCCTCTTTTAATCTTGCGTTCTTTGTCTCGTTCACGGTCTGTCAGCGCTGTGGAGATGTTCAGCGCAGAATAACACAGGAACAGTCACGTGTTACTTTGATCATGTTGGTCTGTGCACTGGTTTGTGTCTCAGGTCTCTCTGAAGGCAGACGTCACTATCACTGTGCTGTCCTGTACTGAAATTCCTCCAGGGAATCAGTGAACTGAGAGTATGTGGGATTTTTCATTGTTAGAATAGATTTATCAGAGCTGTGGCCTAGCGGTTAGCACACATTGAACTGTGGTGCACATATGGGGGGATGTGAGATGTCCAGAACCTGTCCAGATCTCATTCCCTCCTCTTCTCGCTATCATTTTCCTGTTTTCTATTTCACTTTGAATTAAAAAAAAGTGCAATAATGGAATTTGAATGGGAAAAGATACAAAGAATATAAAGGGGACTGATATAAATAGGGTTATATCAAATAAAAGTCATAAAGGGTAGATCAGACTGTATGCTTTTTGTTCCAGTGAATATTTATCAGGGTTAATTTATTGTATACAAGTCAATATACTCTGACAACGGGGATAAGTTGTCAAAACTGGAGCTTTTAAAAAACAGTATTTAAAATGTATCATCAATTTTACAGCTTTATTCAATATTATATAAACTACTGTTCAAATGTTTGGAGTTTGTAAGACTTTTGAAATGTTTTTGAAAGAAGTCTCTTATGCTCGCAGAGGCTGCATTTATTTGATCAAAAAGTTACAGTAAAAACAGTAATAGTGTAAAATATTATTACAATTTAAAAGAACTGTTTTCACTTTTGATATATTTTGAAATGTAATTTATTCCTGTGATGCAAAGCTGAATTTTCAGCATCATTACTCCAGTCTTCAGTGTCACATGATCCTTCAGAAATCATTCTAATATGCTGATTTGCTGCTCAGGAAACATGAAAAGAGGAAACATGTGGAAACCGCGATAGATTTTTTTTCAGGATTCCTGAATGAAAAAGATCAACATTTATTTACAATAGATTTTTCGTCAACATTATAAATGTCTCTACTGTCACTTTTGATCAACCTAATACATCCTTGCTGAATAAAAATATGAATGTCTTTCAAGAAATTGTTTTTTTTTCAATGATTCTTTGTCAACTTTCCCTTGTGACAACTAGCCCCAGTCTCTCTAATATATGCTTTTTCACATGCTGTCAAGAGGTTTCATAAGGTATCTTCAGTAGATGATATTTCACACTGAAGTCTTATGAAAGCTTTATCCTTGTTAACTAACATTTTCATCATCGTCAGAATAAATTGTTTGTGTAATCCATAATGAATCGAATTCACAGCACAAGCAAAAATACGGCTGTGACTGGCAAATGAAAGAGAAATCTTTGCTAGAACAACAAAAAAATGCGACTACAATACCCAGTGAAACCCTTTATTAATTAGTCATGTAAAAAACATGTTTGTTCGTGTTCAAATTAGCAGCATTAAGAATTCATGCTCGAGAAATAAGTTCAAAGCTCGCTGAGAAATTCTAAAAGTAGCCCAAAAGTTCCCCCCTCTCTGTGTGCGTCTTTATTTCCCTCGTTTCTCGTTCTCTCTCTTGTGATGAGTTGGAAAGGCTGTTGATTCTCCTCTTTCTGCTCTCTCCACTAGAAAGGCAGCTGTGAAATAGTCAATAGAGATGAGTGAGTCTGGAGTGACAATATCAGAAGTCTGTACCTCTCGCACAAATACACAAACACACACACACACACGCTCCGCGGCGCCCCACTGGTGTCCTGCCCTGTGGAGAAACAACACACTGCTGCAAATTGGAATTTGTTTTCCGCGTGGCTCGCGAACACGCAGCTCGTCACCGAAAGAACAAAACACTGATTAGTTTTTCTGTTGATTTTTATTTTCTTTCCTCTGAACTGACGAGTAGGAACGGGGCGAGATGAAATTGGAGAGAGCAGAAGAAACACGCGTCGGACATTGCGCTGAAGTTTGAGAAGTTGGCTTCTTTAGAGGGTAGAATGAAGGAGACTGCGTCTGTGCACAGGATTCGAAGCGCTGTTTTAAATTACGGGTCGATCGTGACGTGTAACTCCAAACCTAGCTGGTCAGCGTCCGCTTGTGTGAAGGTCAGAGCTCAGATCAGAGAGAAAGACCGTCTTTAACACTTTGTCCACTATGGTGTTTGGTTTATGATGTTATATCCAAACAATCATGGCTGATCGTCTGTTTTTCTTTATTCTGTAGGGTTTTCCTCTTATACACTGCCATTCAAAAGTTTGGGGTCAGTAAGAAATGAATACTTTTATTCAATAAGGACTCATTAAATTGATCAAAAGTGGCAGTAAAGAGATTTATAATGTTACAAAAGATTTTTGAATTTTCTATTCATCAACAAAAAAATCCAGGTTTACACACAAAAAAAAATATTAAGCAGCACAACTGTATCAAATCAGCATATTAGAATGATTTCTGAAGGATCATGTGACACTGTAGACTGGAGTAATGATGCTGAAAATTCAGCTTTGCATCACAGGAATAAATTACATTTTACAATATATTCCAGTAGAAAACTGTTATTTTAAATTGAAATAATATTTCACAATATTACAGTTTTTACTGTATTGTTACTTTCAAATAAATGCAGCTTCAGTGAGCATAAGAGACTTTCAAAACATTTAAAAAATCTACTGATCTCAAATTTTGAGTGGTAGTGCATATCATTCTGGTATCTGTTTATAACAACATTAATTTAACATCCATACGTTTATATTCTATCGTATTGAAAGATTTATTAAGAAATGTTAAATCAAAAAAGGAATAATAAGTGTAAAATATATTCTTTATATTCTTGTTATATTTTTCCTTTTTGACTTAATATTTCATGTTTCAGATTCAGATGATTGTCTGTTGAATCAGAATTTTTCGGTGAAACAAAAATGGATGCCTAGCTGTCATTTTGAAGGTTTTTGCATTCTTATACGAATTTTATATAAAAATGTCTCAAGATTCAGTGTATTATTTAATGAGATGTACAAACTGATATTTCTTTCAGTTTGTTCATCACACTGGAAATTGAAGGTCAAATCTAGCATGGGATACAGTATCCCATGCACTTTCCTCTGGTGTGTACTTCACATTTTAGCTAATGCGGTAGGCCATCATTATTCTGTATATACAAAAGTTTGCGAACTCTGCAAAGTGTGCATACTACATAGTGCAAGTACTAGTTTGTGATGTTATGATTAAATGGTAAAATCACTGCAACACACAGTTTCAACTGGCTTGTTGCTTTAATAGAAATCCGAGGAGACTCAAAAGGAGTCTGTTTGTACTTGGTTCACTAGTATAAAAAATGTATCATATGCCATATTTATTTAAATCAAAGGCAATTTAATGACCTTTATCATCACTGATTACATTTTAAAAACCTTTGGGATTTCAGCTCTATGCATGTATCAGAAGATAAAAACAAATACACATACTATACTTTTGTTAATACGTCAGTGTTTTGTGTTTAATTATATGTTTATGCACTGCATCGCTCATGTAGACGTACAGGCACCATCTGTACAGATCGTTCATGAGGAAACAACTGATGTGACTCAATCTCGCTCAAATGAAGCTTTAATTGGATAATTGTATGGCTGGGATTGAAAGAGCTGTAGAAGATTGGGAAGAGAGAGAGAGATTGTCATTATTCAGAGAAAAGAGCCAACCTGGTGGAACATTTTTCTCTTTCAAACAGTACCCCCAACCCCCCT